TCTGTAGCAAATACAAACTTGTCTCATTGACAATATATGCTAAGAAAAGTTAGGTTTCATAATTGTTTAGCTTACTTCTATTTCAAGTGAAAGTGTTGAGTGAAACTCGAATTGCAAGTAAACTCAACAATCATTGACATTATTTCCATCTAAATGGGAAATGTAAAGTGCAAGGAATGTCTTGACATTCACGTCTTTCCTGTGATCCTCAGGCAATCGTAGCAGTCTGGCTTATTGGCTAGCATGGCTGGATTACATGCCATGTAATCCACAACCGGGCTTCCAGTCCCACTGGGGATGCTGATAAGACCAGTTCAGGCGACGCCTAAACGGCATTCTCCTACTGCCGTGATGAGAATACCTTCTGAGAAGCAGGGTTATGTGAAATTCACTGAATACGTGAGGTCTAGTCATTTGATTGTGGAGAAATTAAACTATTAAATGAGGTGAATACAGCTCCTATATCGGATCTGTTGGTAATCTTAAAGATGCTAAAACAGAAAATTCTGGAAACTTTCATTTCGTGTAAAAGTGTAACGATGGAAAGATGTGTTCGTTGATCCCACCGGTAGACGACGACTGATTCCGATTGATCTCCTGCCGTTTGGCCCCAAAACGTCCTTCAGGTCGACTTAGTCCAAGAGATATTCTCCCTCTTTTACGATGCAAACTGGTTGATATCTCTTCCTATCATTCCAGCCGACTGACAGCTTTAGGCCTGCAAATCGTCCTTACAACAGTTTTAGATCAGTCAAGCAAACTAGCCGCCTCTATCCTGCATAATATATATACTTGGCTAAAAGCGAAAATAGATAGCTATACATTTATATAAATCTATAAATAGATGTATATACATCAACGGCTATGCACGAACATATAGATAGGAATATATGTATACATATATATTAACATATAAATATAATATTTCACTTGGTATGTGCACTTATATTCTAGAATATTAGGTGTTAAAGGAAAGTAGCCAAATCATTCGTTATTTATCTAAGTTTAGCTTTCTATCGTCACAGCTGGAACACATTCTTACAACGCTTCAAGCCTGCACCTAGTCAATAATATTCGAGACTAAAAACGACTATTTAAATATAGATAGATCTGGAATTACTTTACTAGTACTCCTTCATATCAAGTTTCCTTTCATATATATTTATATATGTATATATATATGAATATATGTCTTGAGCATAGTTGAGTATTATTGAACAAGTGTATGTGTATATAAGCGTGTGTTGGTGCGTTGGTGTGAAGGAAAACTAAATATAAAATATAATGAGCCAATTCATTCGATATCGATCTATATCTACGTATTATACTTTTTCAAGTTAAGAGTATATATAGCATGTACTATAATGTCGGATAGTCGTCTTGACTTAGAGTTAACTGGAACCATTTATAAAAATTAATTTGTGCTTCCGACGATGTACATAATGAAATGTGTATTGGAGCCAAACGTGTGCAGAACAACGGGAGTCAGACGTCTTCTTTTGAAGAGATCCTCCTACGAATCTCTTCATCATAGCGACAAAGCCGGTGAGAGATGGCCGAGGACAGCATCAAATGTCGGTGTCTTCTGCCTGCAGAGGACGATGTGAGACTGAAGCGCATCGAAAACCGGGACTCGATCGACGGTGAGACTGTCGCATAGACACTGCATCCTGCCAGTGTCGGTCGATGCGGTCCCTACGAAAAGTCGCCCAGGCCGGAATAATGGCTGAAAAGAGGAATCCAAATGTTGCAGTAATTCGTTTTTTCCCGGACACTTGATTGGCCTAACCCAAATGTTATTGCTAAACACAATCAAAAATGGCTGGCAGTCGTGACTTGCAATGAAAGACACTTTTTCTTAAATCATAGCTTCATAAATTCCCATCTATCTTGCATCCACTAAAATGCAATGCTTTCGCGGTTGACATGGCCCCCTTGCATCGCTTTTGTACGGATCCAGACCACGATAATTTATTGCCACTTCACTACATTTAATGGCCATTCGTTCGGGAATGTTCCATACGGAGTGTGCTGTCGGCCTGTCCTGAGGCCATTCCGAGGCTCGAGCGACATCGCGGGGCTGCTGGCCGAGAGTCCTGGTCACAAAACAGGAAATCCTGATGCATGAGGGACTCGAGCCGTAGTCGCAGCGAATGAGCACACAACAAGGACGCACACGCGCCCAACAGGGCTGGGATGCAGTCCTCGAAGTCCGGTGCCATCTTGCCCACAAACCGGCGCATCCACGGTTGGTTGCAAGATCGGACAGTAGAAAGCCGCAATTCAAGCCTCGAAGACAGCAACTGCGAATGATGCTACTGGTCGTCAGGGCAATAACTAAAACGGACTCGGGATAAATGGGTCAGATTGCGTTACTTTAAGAAAAGAGATTTCTAATCTGATCGGTACTTGTTAGTCCCATCTGATGGCTTACGATGATGCTGGGACTGATGCTGGCGTTGTGCCCAGAACGAATGTCCTCCTCTAGTCCAGGGCGGGATTCGAGACCGGATTGGGTGCATTTTATGCATACAGCAGATGAGCAAAAAGTGCAATTGTTGTGTTATCGCAATGGTTACAGGCTTTCGTGTCGATGACCATGACACGGTTGTGCATGATGCGGCCTGAAGAAGAGGCAAACTTAAGACAATTTTGCAATTTAACACGTGAAAGGTCGTCCTCAAAAAAAGTGCTCTGGTTTCCGTCGTCAGATCAACGCACCTCTCTTCTCTAAACCGCCAAAATGGACCGATTGTGTATATGTTGGTTACTGAGGGGGGGGATTAGCATATGTGCACACGACGCCGTGCCACATGTGAATTGGCTTAGCAATTATTCAGTCCCGGACAGTTGGAAATAGCCAAAATGGCAGGATAAACAGACGAAACGCGTTCTCCTTGTAGACATGCACGGGGTTCGAATCCCTCTCTGCGTTCCGATTGGACGGTGAGGCGACACCGGAGCTACACCGAGCCCCGACTGCTTGTGCATTTTGTCTGGGCTGCCATACGACGAGCGAGCAGGCTGGCAACACAGTGACTCCATACAGCGCCCGAATGCACACGAGATTTGCGGAAGGAAGTGCTGGAGTCAAAAGTGCGGCGACTCGCTCGGGTCGTGAACTCGAGCTGGGGTAGTCATGAGAAAAAATGCCGTAGTCTATTCTTGGTTAATTCACTGCCAGACACGGTGAAAGTGTGCGTAGAAGGGATTTGCAGGTCAATCCCACCAGAAGACCACGAAGGCTTGGCTGTATCGAAAGGGTCTGAATGAGGTTGCCCACGAGAGACAAGCT